CCCGAGATTTAACATCACCTACACTCACCAGTAGGCACCGTGAGAAGGCTCCACTCCAGGAGTTTGCCAGACAAGACTACGAGGTGCGGTCTGGGCTTGCCACTCTATCGACCCGGACGTTGAAGCGTGGAGAAGTTCATTAACTCGTTCAAGGTCACACCGGGCAAGTGGTGGAGCAGAAATTCACCCCAGGCGCTCCTGCAGCCTCCCTGCGCTCGCGACTAACAGCGCGGAGCGTCCCTAAAGCAAAATCATCGAACGGAGCCTCCCCCCTTCCCCCGCCCCTCGCACACGAGGTACACCGGAGGTGGGGGGCTACGATACATGTGACCCCGAGGGGTCTAATTTTCTCCAGCAACCCCAGAGGAGGCTCTAATGCCTGACCTAGCCATAGGTTTTAGCGGTTGGGGCCAAAGAAGGTGTCTACGACCTCAGAACCCAATTAATGGAAGTTTCTCACACCCACCGACGGTTTGGCTAAGGTGATGTCAATGGCATCACATTGTTTAATTTGTGTCTTTGATGACGAGGGAAACTGAATTTATCACTAGTTTAAACTGAGCACCTTCGAACTAATCGCTTTGCATCAATCCTGCTTTCCTGGAATGAGACCGGAAGGCTGCACCCAAAAGTGAACGGGTGGTAAAGCTGCTTTTCCATCCCATCTCCCCAGCAAGGACTTGGCCTCTGGCGGGGTGGAGCACAGCTGGGAAAGCAGGAGCTGAGGCTTTGTGCCTCTTGCGTAGTCCCATCCCTCCTGCCAAGGTGCAGTGGGTGGGAGTGGCAGAAGGGAGGGCCTGGCGGTAGGAGGTTGGGTGGCTAGGGGGCTTGCGGAAGAAGGGGATGCAAAGACCCCCAGTCCTACCTGAGAGTGGTGAGGAGGAGGGTGGGGTTCATGACTTTTCCTTTTCCCAACATTTTGCCCAGCTTCTGTGATGTGTCAGGCGCTATACTTAGTGCTGGACAGGGCTGAGGTTTCAGGTTCATCCACCCTGGATCAAGGGTCCAGCTCCCAATGTCTAGCCACTATTCACAGTCCAGGCTGTGGCTGTCCCCAGGATGGGGGACTGGGGGAGGAGACAGTCTGTGAGGCCTCCCACTTCAAAGACCAGAAATAAAACTGAAGGGTTGCGTTTTCAAAATCAACCCAGCTGGTGTTATCCCCCCCCAACACACACACACACACACACACACACACACACACACACACGAATGTGCTTACATGCTTCTACAGGGTGTGGGGAAGGTGTATCTGTGTGTGGTCAACAAAAGGTGGGGGAGTGTGACACTCTTGAATCCTTTGAAATCTCACAGTCAGAGGTCACCTCTGGGCCAATGAGGAGAGCCCAAGACCACAGAGGGGTCATTCCAGAGCATTCCTCCCATCAGCTCTGTGTATCTTCCCACATCTCCTTTTGCCAGTTAGATCACAGATTACATGCCCAATTAAAAAAAAAAAAGA